CCTGGCACCTCATTCAGGGCAAGCACAGCACCACGTGGCCGGTCGCCTGCAGGCTCGCTGGCCTGAACACAGACCAACCTCGAATTCTGCCCACACCCCTTCTGTGCTCAGATCCTCGTGACTCCCACCCGAAGGGCCTCCTTGGACCCCCTGCCCCGCTGGACCTGCCTCTGCCTCCTCCTCGGGCAGACACCCCACCCTGCAGGGACTTCCTGGCGCTGCCTTGCAGTGGGACCGTGTACCGGCCACGCTGTCCTCCTGGCCCAGAACCTTCTGTCCGCACCTTCAGGCTGAGCCCTCGGACACAGGCCCCGGCTGCTGCCCCTGGAACCCAGGTGGGATCCACAGCAGAGTCCTGCCTGCCCTGGCCTGGGCACACCAGGCCCAGGGCCCCAGCTGGGACCACTGTGCTGGGAGTCACCCTGGCTCTGTCACCCTCAGGCTTGTAGGCCTTCCCTGTTCAACTTCTGGGCCCCCCGTGATCCCGGGAGGGCTGGTGTGGTGCATGGCAGCGAGTTTCACGGTTAAAACCAGCCAGCCAAGCCTCAGGGTCCAGGGTGTAATAGCAGGGCCCCACAGGGGGGAGGGTCCCAGCACCAGGTCACCCCAGGATGGCACCCAAGGTCTGAGAGTTTGTGAGCAGAGGCTGAGAGTGGGCATTTCAGGAAGCTGGCTGGTGTGCCCGGTTCCCGGGGGCCAGTGGGGACTCAGAGCCCCCTTGGCCTGCCCTGACCCCCCTCAGCCCCGGGCTGTCCGTTAGCCTCCCTGCTCTCCCGGTGCTCAGGCCCCGGTCGAGGACTCCTCTGCACATGGCCCTGTGGGCCGGGTGCCCTGAGCAAGGTTCAAGGTCCAGGCTGGTCCTGCTGGCATCCTGTTGCCTGAGTGGCACCCACAGTGTCCTGGTTCTGGAAGGGGGCATGAGGGGCGCCTCCAGCAGTGCCTGGCTGGGTCTGTGGCTGCCCCATGAATCTGTTAATAGGTGAATCATTGATGGACCCTGGACGCCGGATCGTCTGTGGGCGGGCGGCCGTGGATTGCCATTGAAAAGCCTAGAACAGAAACACAGGCCTCTGAGTGTTTAGAACTCAGGCTAGGTGCTCCGAGCCAGGAGCGGGCACCCCCGCTGCCTCCAGTGGACGTGGCCAAACCCAGCTTAAGCAGAGGCACAGCCACTCGTTGTGGCCAAGCACGTGGGGCCGGCTGGTCTTGCGGGGCTTCATCGAATGCATCACAAACCACTCACCTGCCGTGATCACAGAACCAAGGGCTCCGAGCACTTCCCCACGAAAGGGCCTTCGGAGCCTCGCCCTCCACCTCACAGGCAGTGATTTCAACCCCCGTGTACCCAGCCAGGCGCCACGCCGGGCTCCCACCCGGGCCTCCTCCCTTCGGCTCCATGTTTCTGGGCCTCAGTTTCTTCATCTTTAAAATGACCTGGGGTCAGTCCTGCTGACCTCTGAGGCTTTCTTCAAGAAGGACGCCGTGTGACCATGGAGGCCGAGGCGGGAGGGGTGCAGCCACAGGCGAAGGGTGCAGCGGCCCCAGGAGCTGGAAGACAGGATGGACCCTCCCCAAGCTCCCTCAGAGGGCGCACGGCCCAGCCCACACCTTGTTTCAGACTTCCGGCCTCTGACTAAACTTCTGTTGATGAAGCTGCCCAGTGTGTGGTCATCTGTTTCAGGTACATGGGCTGCCCATCCCAGGAAACGCGTGTTACTACAGCCACAGAAATGGGCAGAGTGAGGACCGGACTCGGGGGGGAGGCACCTGGGTTTCACATCCCGCTGCCCCCTCAGAGGCCACGTGTCTTCAGACGGCTTGTTTAACTCAGTTTTTCACAGAAAACAGGCAGAAGCACAGCAGCCCCCTGTAGGTCCCCACGCGTGAGCCCCAACCTGGGCACTCAGCACAGACCTGACCCTGAACCCCAAACGTCAGCGCTGTCAGTGTCAGAAAGAAATCGGCCTCCAGCCCTCCAGGAACTACACCCCCTTCCCACACCATCTGAAAGCTGTTGCTGGGCCAGCAGGGGGCCTCCAGGGTCCTGCAGCCATGTGGGTGGGGTCTGGGGGGTGTCCCATCTCCCACCTGGGTCCTCCGGGTCTGGTAGGTCTCCTGCCCCGTGTCCCCAGACAGTTAGCTATCTGTAAACCTGCCCTTAAATGTCAGCAGGGCCCCATCTACTTTGGAAACCTGTGTTTTTGAGCTACATTTATATATTTTTATTGATTTCTGGCGCCTGGGGGGAGCTCGGGGGAGGCACAGAGCTGACCAGCTCAGGCTCTGGGTAGCTGACAGCTCTGAGGAATAAGGAGACGCCCCTGCTCCTCGCAGCCCCTCCTTCCCAGTGACCTTGGGGTGCCCTTGAGCACGGGCCCCACCGTGTCGCTTGCCAGCCCCAAGCACCAGAAGGTAATTAGGGGCCCCCAGCATGTCGGGTCTCCCTCAAAGCACCTGATGTGAGGCTCTGCCGACCAGCACTCAGGGGAGGCTCCTCCTCAAGGTGGAGAAACAGGTAGGAAGCGTCTGTGTGACTGTGTTTTTCAAGTTCAAGTACAATCAGACACAGAGGGAAGCCAGTGCAATTAGAGGCAGAAATAGAGCCTGGAGCTTGCCTGTGGCTGTTGCAGGTATGTGCGTGTGAACATATGTGTGCGGTGTGTTTGTGTGTGTGAATATTTACATGTGTCATGTGTGTGCGTGCACGTGTGTATGGCATTGTGTGCATGTATTGCTATGTGTGTGCACACGTGTGCATGTGTGTATTATGTTGTGTGTGTGTGTGCGTGTACCAGTGTGTGTTTGAGTGCATGTGCGTTGCACTGTGTGTGTGTGCATGCGTGTATGCAGATCTTCCATTCTGCTCTGCACACACAGGCTTGAAGCCTGCCACCTCCCCTGTCCTTGCAAACTCAATCCCAGATTACGGAGGAAATCTCACAGCAGCAGGGCCTCCCAGCCTGGCATCCCAGAGGCCGGAGGGTGGAGGGGCGGAGGGGACACTTGGGGGCTTCAGCCTCGGGCCAGGCCACCTCCTCTCTCAGCCCCAAGCCTGCGGGGCTTCCCTTTCCATGACCCCTTTCACTCAAGGCTAGGCTGGTGCTGGGTGGCAGGCCTGCCCTGCAGAGGAGGCTGCTCTGCCCTCAGGAAGCCTCTTCCCAGCCTGTCCCTCGGCCCCGGGCTTGTTGCTTTCCCTTGAAACTTTGGTCTGACACATGTGCATAAGCCTCTGGGTCTCGGCTCGCTCCCAGCAGACCACATGCAGCATCTGGCTGGCAAGACCTTTGACCCCGTGACCCCACCACCTGTGCCAGGCTCCAGGGCTCCCTGCCAGAGCCGCCTCCCAACCCCACCCCAACCCACACAGGCCTCCATGGACAGGACAGGACAGGACAGGAAGCTGCTCTGGGCGTGGGGGAGGCCAGTAGCCCGGGAGGACTGATATACTACGTCATTCTGCACAGGGGGACCTGCCAGAGCGCGGGGGATCCCAGCACAGTGCTGACCTTCCAGGCACTGATTGCTCCTTTTTCAAATGACTTTACAAACAAGCAAATGAAACAAAAACTGCTCATTGTAAAGAAATACTGCTGGCTCCCTGTGTGGCTTTTTGTGTCTCTCCGTTCCAGCCTCCTGTGCTGGACACCGCTCCCTGGGGTCAGCATGGGTCGCCCAGAGCTCCGCATCACCAGCCCAGCCGCAGAGGCCAGGCCCTCTGCAGATGTGTGCTGCGGCTGCTTCCTGCTGGCTGGACCCGTGAAGGTGACCTTAGCGTGTGTCTCCTGCCTGCGAGGCCTTGGCAGCCAAGGCAAGGCCTCTGCTGCCACCTGGTGGTGAGACTGGAATCGCAGGTGGTCATCTAAGGCCTGAATGCTTCTGGCGAGCGAGAGTCCAGCCCACCACCCTCATAACTGGTGAGGGTGGGAATCTAGCCCTAAGAGGGGTTACTGAGTCTGCCCGGGGTCACACAGCAAGTCACCAGCAGAACAGGGGTAGCCTGGCTTCCTCAGTGCCTCCCGACTCACAGGTTAGGGGTGACACTGGAATACCCACCCACGGAGGGGTTCAGAGACCTGCCTCTGAGGTCAGGCAGACCGGCTGGGTCCTGGCTGAGCAAGTGTCTGAGCTTCAAAGCCTGGCTCTGCCCCCTAACAGTGGAGCCCCTTGCTGGGCAGGCTGCTGGGGGCAGCCAGGCCCCAGTGTGGTGGGCAGGGTGCTCCGTTAGTGCGTTTCCTGCTGCTGGTGCTCATGCGCGAAGTGAAAACGAGGTTCCAGGAGGGGGCGTGGCTCCGTCTCGCTCCAGGGCCACGAAACTGCAGTCAAGTGCCATGTTGGGTGGGATGAGAGGGCGCCTACCTAGAGATCTAGAGGCAAGACCCTGGGACAGGAGAGGCAGCTTTGGGGAGACCTCTCCCCTTCTCTTGCCCACCCACGGAGGCGGCCGCTGTTATGCCAACATCTCCAGCAAGTCCTCTGCTCTTGGTGGGGGACAGTCAGCCCTGGTCTCCCAGCCCCTGAGGGTCCTCACAGAGGGGGAGGCGGAGTGAGGGGATGCCTGCCACCTGGGGAGTCAGGGCACGGTGCCAAACAGAGGTGGACACGCTCTGACCACACTGGACGGCCACTCCTCATCCCTCAGGCACCCATGGGGCAGGACCCTCAAAGCCTCAAAGCGTAGCCCCAAGGGGGAGAAGCTCCCCGAGGGAGGCCCGGGCTGAGGTGGCGTCTGGCACCCTGGTCCCCACGCAGGGCTGGAGGAGGGAGCCCGGTGGTCTCCCTCCACTTCCCCGGCCTCTCCATCCCCCGAAAACCCTCTCCTTCCTGCGAAGCCTGGTCGAGAGAGGCACTTGGACTGGGAAGGAAGAAGCGACCCGATCACTTAGAGACGGGACAGGGACAGGCAGACCTTAGTGTCCCCCCCGCTGCACCCCCACTAGAGTCGCGTCGCCCCTTTCCCACTGCTCTCCAGACGTCCCCGATGGAGACAGCACGGTCACCAGACAGCAAGTTGCTTGTGTCACTTGTTCTTTATTGACTGCCACGGACTGCATTCTCATGGGTGACCAGACGGCCCAGGAGCAGCGCTACAGAGAGGAAGGTGGAGGGGGGGTGGTCTGAGAGAAGCAGGCCGCCGAAGGCCCGGACGCACGGACCTCAGGGCACCGCAGACACGCGGGCAGGCCGGGCTCGGCCCTGAGGCAGGCGCCCACTGCTGAGGGTCAGATGCACCTGGCTGGCCCTAAATACCCAGGGGTCACCCAGGGATGGCTCAGCAGGCGTGTTCTTCTGCTGACCTCACCGTTAGCTGAGACCAGCCTGCGTCCCCCGGGAGCACGAGGCAGCTGCCTCGAGGAGCTGCGGTGGCCGTCGCTCCCACCAGCTGGCTGGTGCTGGGATCAGGTCACCCTGAGGTCGCAGCACCTCAGGCCGAGGCCCAAAGCCCTCCAGGCTACTCTCAACCCTCACTCCCTCGGAGAAGAAGAAAAGGAAATGGGAAAGCAGAAAGCGAAGGAAGACAAATGCATCACTTTCCAGCCCCCCCCCCGCCCCCCGCCCCATGGATTGGTTGCAGGGGGCAGCAGTGGGTGGCAGCCGGGGCCGGGCAGAGCTTAGGACGAGGACGCAGAGCTGGGCTTCTCCTCCCGTGACACGGGGATGGTTCGCTCACTGTGGCCGGCGTCCATGCCAGACGGGACCTTGGGGCCAGAGAAGGTCAGCATGCCGTCGGCAGACAGGGAGCAGGAGAGTGCCGCCTGGTCCACGTTGGAAGGCAGGCGGTAGCGGCGGTGAAACTCGCGGGAGATGTAGCCGTGGTCATCCTGGGCGGGGCAGGGGAGGGCACCGTCAGAGGCGCCACGGCAGCGGGAGGCCCCCTGCGTGCAGAAGGGCGCCCTGGACAACAGGGTCAAGCCCACGGTGCTCTCCCAGGGCAGGTGAGCGGGGAGGGCTGGGGCCTGTCAGGGCTTTACCAGCTGGCCTCCCGCCGCTGCCTCCCTCCTCAGCCCTCTGCCTGCCCGGGGCCACTGGGCTGTGGAGTTGGCCCTTCAGTCTAATTTTACTCTGAAATCTCATGAATGGTGCTGTTCCTGGCCCTGGGTCAGGGTTACCCTTTACCTGTGACCCCACAGACCACTCAAGCTTCAGTGAGGGTTCCTGCGATCCATCTAAGGGGGTCAGGAGCCGCACCTGAGCCCAAGAGCACGCACGCCTGAAGTGTCCAGATTCAGTCCCTGGGCCGATCCCTCCTCCAGGTGGCAAGGCCGAGACTGGGGAGTGTCTGGGCTGAGCTGACTAATCAGTCACGTGGCTTCTATCGCGGTAGCCACCAGATGGCAGGGCACAGACACGGAGTCTCCCACCCCCACCCCACCCCAACACTGACACCAGTGACTCCTCCAACCATTGAAGAAACCCCTGGTGTCTGGTCAGAAGCTCAGACTCTGCCAGCATCACACCCTTAGTCCCCTCACCCCGTCCTCCGCATGGGAATGTCACATGCCAGCCACAAGCCGTGGGCTCTTCTCAGCTCTGCCTGAGACCCTCCTCCCGGCTCCAGTGCCCAGGCTCCTCACACCCCCACCCACCTTGTCCCAGCTGTGGTACCTGAGCCTGGCCATGCCACCTGCCAACTCGAGATAATGGGGGTGTTGGTCGCAAAGGGCCACTGACAGATGAACATGTCAACACACCCAAAGTGTTTGGAGTGTCCATAATGCCAGCTACGCTGTCGTCACAGCCCACCCGCCAAAGCAGCGTTCATGTGACAACCAGTGTGGGCTCGGAGCTTGCCACCTTGGCTCTCGGCGTTTCCGGGGCTCGTCCCTAATCCCCACCTGTCATGCAGGCCACCTGGGTGAAGCCACGGACAGCCCAGCCATTCACCATGCTGCCCAGGCCTGCAGAGGACTCAGGAGCCCCCCCCCCCGTCACTGGGAGGCAGCTATGCTTAAGTGGACGGGGCGCCCCCTCCAGGAGAGGCCCCTGGGTCCTCTCACTGGCTGAGGGGACCAGGAGAGCAGCCGTCCCTCACCTGCCTCTCGCTGTGCTTGCCATGGATCTCCACGAAGTCCTCCTGCACCTTCACAGTCAGGTCCTCTGGAGAGAAGTGTTTCACGTCCAGGAAGATGACAAACTTGTCACGGTCGGATCGGACCTGAAACCCATATGCTCATGTGGGTCTCTCGGGGCCACGGCTCAGGGAGCGAGGGAGCTTGCCGTAGTCCCTGCGGGGCAGGCCAGAGGGCCAGTGTGGAGGACAGAAACTGAACAGAACCTGTGGTCACCGCCCAAACCTCTCCTTCATCACAGAGTCCCAGGGGCCCCTGACTCGGGGCTGTGTGGACACTCTGCTGACATCCAGAACCTGGGGATTCAAGGCAGTGCTGTCTGCTGATGCCTGGTTGGTGATGGCTTGACTGGCTGGTTATAGGTTGGGGAACTGGCTATGTGTTAAACGGCTGCTTATGGTTGGGTGGCTGGTTGTGGGTTGGTTGGCTCATTAGGGTTGGTGATAGGTTGGCTGGCTGGTTGGCTACAGGTTGGCTATTTGGTTAGGGTTGGCTGGCTGGTTAGGGGCTGGCTGGCTGGTTGCTTATAGGTTGGCTAGTTGGTCAGTGTTGGTTGACTGGCTGGTTAAGGGTTGGCTCCTTAGGGGTTGGTTATAGGGTGGCTCATTGGTTGGGGGTTGGCTGGCTGGCTGGCTGGACCTCACTGGACTAAGCCTGCTGCCCTGGCTTCCTCGTCTCTCCACCAACAGCCGGGGCCCGTCTCTTCACATCGACTGGCCGTGCCCGGCAGCCCTCGTTGCTGCTACCAGCTGCGCAGAAAGTGCTCACCCGGCCTCTCCTCTCTTCACTTGCTCCGAACATTTGCCTAGGCCCTTGCGGCCCCTGGAGGGGACTGGCGCTGTGTCAGCCCTGGCCAGGCGTGTTTTTAGGCCGTGGAGGAGAGCTCGCCCCTCCAAAACTCTGGACCCGGGGTCAGTCTCAGCTCCGGGAGGAAAGGCCGCTGGCCCTCGTCGCCTTCCCCTTTGGGCCTGGCCTTGGGCACCTGGGCAGACGTGGGACCACCCACTCTCTGCGGCTCAGGTCGGAGGCCCTCCTCTCGGGACCGCTGGCAGCACGCCCCCCACCCAGGCCTCCTGCTGGAAGGGAAGATGACGGCTGCTGGTATACAGTTCGTGTCTGCCATTGAACTTGCCTTGGTGGGGTTGCTCTTGGGGTTTCCAGGATGTGGTTGGTGCATAACAAACCACATATGGGTCATGAGCTGATGGGAGGAAAAGACAGCAGTCGGGCTGGGGCAGGCTCCCTCTCCCAACCCCTCCCCGGAGGCACGGGGGCCTCTGCGTGTGGAGGCGGAGGAATTGGGGCGAGGGGAAGGTGGCCCCGCACCATCACCATCCGCTCTGCGAACAAGACGAGAGCCCGGAGCACGGGCCGGCCCTCAGAAACCGCGCTGGCCCTCCAGCCACGCCCGGCCCTGCCCCTGATCAGCCGGCCTTACCTCCGAGATGCCGGAGTCCAGCACCGTGCGGAAGAGGGACTGGCGGTAGTGGGGGCTGATGGTGGACGACAGGAAGGGCAGCAGGTCGTACTCAAAGAAGCCTTCGCCGAAAAACTGGTCGAACAGCCGGCTGGGGTAGAAGGGGCCCAGCGCGCGTTTGAACCAGGGCTGCTGGATGGTGATGTCCATGGCGGGCACTGCGGGGATCCCGGCTGGTGGGGCTCAGGCAGGGGCCTCTGGGCAGTGTGGTGGGGAGCTGGGTGTGGGCCCTCCCTATATACGCCTCGGGCAAAATGCAGGCATTAGGGGATTTGTCTGGAAAGCGTGAGCTCATGAGGGAGGCTGCCCAGTCAGCAGAAAAGTGACCCGGGCTGAGCGCCCGCCACTCTCAGCCCCAGGCACTGACCAGCACAAAGCGCTGGACGCCACACGAGCGTCCCTCTGCGTGGCTCTGTCCCCACTCGCCTGGGGGACAGTGAAGACTCACGTTCCAGGTGTGTGCAGAGATGGGGCCAGCTCTCTGCCTACGTGGTCCTGGGTGACCCCATGGCCGCCCTACCAGTAGGCACTCACACTCGTGTCACAGGCGAGGAAACGGAGGCACAGAGAGGCTAGGCAAGTGGTCCCCAAACCCACAGCTGCTAAGTGGGGGCGCACTGTTTTTCAGAACAGAATTACCTCTATTACTTTTCCTGATAATAAAAATGCTGCGTATTTGTAAAAATCCTGGGAAAGACAGACCATGCTAAGCAATAAAAAGCCCCGTCATTCCAGCACGGTGGCAGGGTCTCTGTGTGTCCAGACAGGCAGGCAGGTTCGGATTTACAAACACAGAACCCGCCCCTGGGCTCACCCTGGTGTCATCCCTGTGAATGTGGTCCCCTCCTGGGCACGACGGCGGTGTGGTCCTCTAACCAGGCGCCCCTGTCGGGCCTGCGGCTCGTCCGTGGGGTCACTGCTATCCGCAAGTCCTGGCTCCTTTTTGGCCCCTCTCTCTGGGTCCCTGTTCAGGTATCGCTCAGCACACATTCCCAGAGTTTTTAGGCTTTCGACGTTTTCCAGCAGCTTGGCCTCTGGGCAGTCTACTGACATGCACCCACAGCGTAGGAAAAAGCCGTCCCCACACCTTTACAATAAGCTCACTTCTTTTAATGCGCAAGGCAAACAGAGAAGTTTCTTATTCATCTTCATTCCTCCCCAGTTCATATCAGGCTCGCTGAGTACATGCACCCTCAGATCACCCAGGGGTCTTTGCAAATTCATCTCCAGCCTTGGACTTAGCCTGTCAGTAAACTGCACATTTATCCAGTATTTAAGCAAAGTTGTATGTGACACATCTAAGATAGAATCAGTATTAAAAGTGGGTATTTCACAGCGTCCCTGACACCTTTCCCTAACCAGCCGCACTCGGTAACAAACCCTTCCTCCTGCATTTCCGAGCACCTGCTGCGTACCTAGCACAGGCCAGGTGGTAAAGGGCCCTGGACAATCTGGAAATGCCACCTTAGATGCCAGGTCCCAACATCCCCCAGTTCATAGACCAGGAAAGGATGTTTAACCCATGTGCCCAGGTCACTAGGCTTGGAGGAAGGGAGGGGACTTCAGTGCAGGCCTCCCACCCAGGCTGGGGCTCAACATGGGAGCCAAGGTGCGGGCTGGATTGTGGCTGGCTGTGCAGTGCTGGCAGCCTGCTCCTGGGCTCAGGGAACAGGGGGGAAGGGGCACGTGTGTCCGGCTGGCTGGGTCCTCCGTGGAGAGGGTCCAGGAGGGCCAGGCGTGTGGCCGGCGCTGGGCAGAGCCACCCTGGAGCTTGAGACAGAAGAAAAGTCAGCAATGCTGATCCGTGTTTATTTTGATATTTTTTTCATCACAGATTTTTTTGCATTCATTTTTATTTTAACAACATTGCATTAAGAGAAGATTTATCCTGATGACTGCATATTTTTGGTGTCCCCTGAGATTTGGCACCGGCGAGAACGCCTTGTTTGCCTTACCCTACACCTGGTCCCCATGTGGTCATTCAAACAGGCTGGGGCTGCAGGCAGGGACCAATGCTGAGGTGCTAACCTGGGGCTGGGCACCACCTCATCCTATGGGCTACCCGGCTCAGGGTAGCTGAGGGTCTGCCAAGGCCCTTCAGGCTCGCAGGGGTGCCCAGGCTCTCACCCACACCCCTTTCATGCCTGCCCCCTCTTGGGTTTGGGACCCCATGTGCTGTGGGCTGGCGGAAGCAGAGGCCTCCATGGGGCATGATGGCACCTGCCACAGAGCTGGCCAGGCCTGCAGGGGTAGCCTGCAGAGTGAGCCAGTTGTGAGGCTGCACACCGGACCGTGCGGCCCCTGGACAAGGGGAGCAGATGGCCACAGGGCCCTCGGCTACCATTCAAACCCGAGATGTATTAACTTGCAGTTTAGAGGTCAGAAATCCAAAATGGGTCTCACTGGGCTCAAATTGAAGGGTCATCAAGTTGGTTCCTTCTGGGGGCCCCAGGGAAAAGTCCATTCCTGCCTTTCCAGCTTCCAGAAGCCTCCTGTGTCCCTCGACTCGCGTTCTTTTCCTCCACCTTCAAAGGCAGCATGGGTGGGTGGAGTCTTTGTCACGTCACATCCTCCTGCCCCCCTCTTATAAGCGCCCTGTGATTATCGGGCCCAGCCGCACAACCCAGGACCACCGCGCCCCCTTAAGGCCTGCTGCATGAAGGAACCTCATTGGCCCATTGCCACGTAAGGAAACACTCACAGGCTCTGGAATTACCATATTTCCCCATGTATAAGACACTCCCATGTGTAAGATGCACCTTAATTTTGGGGCCCGAAATTTGAAAGAAAATGTATTACGTAAATTCTTTTCCATCAGCAATTCTTCTTGCCTCATGCTGAACCATCTCATGGCCTTCTTCTGCCGTGGCGTTTTCAGGAGGGTTTCTTCTTCCCGTAGCCAGTCTCGAATTGTTTTCTCAGTTGGAGGAGGACCAAACTTACGTTCTGCAGTACGATTTCCATTCACTTTTGCAAACTGGATCACTTTTAACTTGAATTCAACACTGTACAAAAATCTTTTCTGAGCCATTTCTGGGTAGAACGTGGCAAAACGTAACCTACCGTAATATACCAGTAACAAGTGTGAAACAATGAGCGCCAAGACAACAAGCGCGAAAAAGCGGGAAATGCAAGTAAAAAAATCTACAACAATGAGCCCAAAAACAAGCGTGAAAAAAGCGGGAAATGCAAGTAAAAAAATCTACAACAATGAGCGCAAAAACAAGCGTGAAAAAAGCGGGAAATGCAAGCAAAAAAACTACAACAATGAGCCCAAAAACAAGCGTGAAAAAAGCGGGAAATGCAAGTAAAAAAAAAATCTACAACGAGCACAAAAACAAGCGCAAAAAAAGCGGGAAATGCAAGTAAAAAAAAACCCTACAACCACGGTATAAGACGCACCCAGTTTTTAGACCCCAAATTTTTGGAAAAGGGTGTGTCTTATACATGGGGAAATACAGTAGGACACAGGAGGCCATTATTCCTCAGGCCACAGGGAAGGACGCCTGTGACGAAATGTGCCCTCCCTCATGATACCTCCTGGTAACTGGAGTGACCCGCGGCTTCCAGCAAGGCCAGCCAGTAGCGGTCCACAGCAGCTCACATTACTCAAACCCATGACCTCATTCAATTCAACTTCCATCTCGGCCAGGTGTCTGAGGCTGTCCCATTTCATCTCCAGGGTCACTGACCTCTCCTATAGGCCAAACCTGTTGCTCACTTTGCTCCAGAGTTTGCTGCATTAAAAAGTGTCTTCCTTCAGTGATCACACACAGTTTGAAGCAAAGTCCCTACTCCCGTGGAGCTGTCATCCTAGTGGGTAGAGACAAAAACGTGCCACAACAGGTGGTAAGGAGCATTCTGCAGAAAACAGAGCCAGATGCAGGATGGGGAGTTATGGGGCCACAGAACCCAGAACCTGGAACCCACCTCCACACAGCCAGCCCCTCACCAGCCTGGATTCTGAGAAAACCCTTTTGCTCTGGGTCTGCATTCGTCCTTGAATTCACGTTGAAGATGCCACTTCAAAGCCACACTGTGCCACAGGTGGGGAAAGGAACTCGGCCACACATGCACGCACTAAGGGATGTGGTGTCCGCAGAGACTCAAAATAATCGTAAAAACAACCAAAGGTCTGCGTACCCTTCATTATCCCCAGGCACTGTTGGCTCTGAATAATGCCCCTGCAAAATACTCCTCCTTGTTAATCTAAGTTCTTAGCAATCGAAATATAAATAATATAGTCCATTTTCCTTATTGTTGGTAGGTCTATTCTATGAAGTTTCTGTGGCCCCTGAATTAGGAAATACAGACCATCGCTCCCAAGAGAACTACAGGGTCAGGTCCCCATAAGCCTCTGGTCACAACAGTTGTGTCAACTAATCAATAAACAAGATGTTTGATGTGTGTTTCTGTTTAAAGACACCTAAGTTAACTGCTGTTGTTGATCCATTAACACTGAACTCACAGCCAACAGCACTCGCTCCCAGCTGAACAAAGCAGTGCTAACACACGTGTTTGCTCCATGGGGCACATCACAGCCTCCTTGTGCTGAGGGTATAGGATGGCATTTCAGCATTACACTGGGGGGCATATGAACAGTGAAATCACCACCACCAACAACAATAAACACAGAAAGGGGGAAATGTGGCACTAAATAGGCCACGGAAAGGACGCCGGCTTACAGGGAAAGCAGACCTCCACTCGTCCCCCCGTGGCTCGATCGTCCCTGTGAGGTGGTTCAGATTTCTCACCTCTCTGCCACGCTGGTCGGGGAACGACCGTGAAAGGGCTGAGTGTTGATTTGGGGTCACAAATAAATTTTAGAGAGTAGGTGTTATAGACTGAACTGAGTCCCAAAAAAATTCATATGTTGACGTCCTAACCCCCAGTACCCCAGAATGTAACCATATTCAGAGATGGGTCCTTTAAAGAGGTGATTAAGGTGAAATGAGGTCACTAGGGTGGGCCCTACTCTAGTAGAACTGGTGTCCTTCTGAGAAGAGGAGATCAGGACACAGACACACAGAGGGATGACCACGTGAGGACACAGGGAGCAGAGGGCGTCTGCACGCCCAGGAGCGGCCGCAGGAGGAACCAGCCCTGGGACACCTGGGTCTCAGACTCCGGCCTCCAGGCTTTGAGAGAATAAACTCACGTTGTTGAAACCAGCCCGTCTGTTTGTGCTACAGCAGCCTGCACAGGTTAACGTCGTAAGC